TAACCGGTTTATGGCGGCGGGATAAGCAAGCTACGATTGCACATGAACTGGGGGTCGTGCTAGTATCTGTTGGCCTGATGCGCCAACACGAGAATGCGCTTGTACCTTGAAAGCCATCGGCATTTTGATCTTCACGTTTTGCATTGACCCTTTTGCACCACTCGCTACGTCTCGCAAGGTCCATGATTCGGTCCGCCAAATAGCTGCTGCACCTCACATATACTGCTTTCTTTTCTCAGATTTCAAATCGACAGAGAACCAGTGTGATTGGTTGCAGTAAGTTCAAGCTCTGTTGTCGATGGTCAATTTGTTTGCATAACGCGCATCGTGATTTGTGCTGTGCAAAGTAATCCAGCACGAAAAACGGGACGCAGTATTAATCTATAGTACAGCACCGTGACTTCGCCTTCAATACATAGAGACATAGAGGAGAACGATGGTAGACTGGTGAAACTGGTATCCACCCAATCAGCAAAAAGGTTTTCGCAAGGTATTCGTGTTGCGACCTGTAGAGTGGTGACGCCACGTCAGGATTCTGGCACGTGATCCTCCCACTACCAGGAGCGACGGTTTTTCCCTGCTCTGTTATCCAGTCTGGGGCGGTGCACCGTTACTTAGTGACCTTGGTGTGAACCCTTACGAGCTCACCACAATGTCGACTCCTAGTTTGAGACGGGCGCGCCTTCCACACCCTGTGGATAGTGACGCCGTCACGCGTGTCACAACCCTCGTACCTCACTACCCGGACAGAAGTGTTCCGTTACAAGTTGGCGCCACCCAACCTGGTGATTCATGGAGCCAGTTCGCGTCCACAACAACGACAAACTGTTGATACTTCGAAACCCGCTTCACACCATAGCTACTTCAAGGACACTTCACTAATACACACACATACTATCCTCAACGAGAACTGTAACGCGTGAGTCACACATGTCCATTGGTCTGATGATAAATTGACGCGTACAGCAATATATGAGAATCTCATGATGTGCATACGTACTGTGGATTACACACTCATCGAGCGTATGGGGAGCAAATGCGAGACCAACGAAAATTGGTGCGGCCTTACCCTCGTCGCAGTGTGACTGACTTTACAGAGAAGATGATACGGAATCCGGGTACTGAAGGTCGTACCTTGTATCCGTATCTTTATCAACGATACCCTTCGATCACTCACATTTTATCATGACTCACTCATTTTGTTGCGCACTCAGAAAATTTGCGGACGCATCGATCCCGCTCATGGTCGTCTCGGTTTCACTACAAGACGGTAATCAAGCATGCCAACAAAGAGTAGTTCGTACGATCAACTGAAGACTTAGCTAATCCATGACTTTCCAGTCGAGGTCCAGCCTGACTTAACTGGTTTATGGCGGCGGGATAAGCAAGCTACGATTGCACATGAACTGGCGGTCGTGCTAGTATTTGTTGGCATGATGCATCGACACGAGTATGCGCTTGTCCCTTGAAAGCCATCGGCATTTTGATCTTCACGTTTTGCATTGACCCTTTTGCAACACTCGCTACGTCTCGCAAGGTCCATGATTCGGTCCGCCAAATAGCTGCTGCACCTCACATGTACTGCTTTCTTTTCTCAGATTTCAAATCGACAGAGAACCAGTGTGATTGGTTGCAGTAAGTTCAAGCTCTGTTGTCGATGGTCAATTTGTTTGCATAACGCGCATCGTGATTTGTGCTGTGCAAAGTATTCCAGCACGAAAAACGGGACGCAGTATTAATCTATAGTACAGCACCGTGACTTCGCCTTCAATACATAGAGACATAGAGGAGAACGATGGTAGACTGGTGAAACTGGTATCCACCCAATCAGTAAAAGGTTTTCGCAAGGTATTCGTGTTGCGACCTGTAGAGTGGTGACGCCACGTCAGGATTCTGGCACGTGATCCTCCCACTACCAGGAGCGACGGTTTTTCCCTGCTCTGTTATCCAGTCTGGGGCGGTGCACCGTTACTTAGTGACCTTGGTGTGAACCCTTACGAGCTCACCACAATGTCGACTCCTAGTTTGAGACGGGCGCGCCTTCCACACCCTGTGGATAGTGACGCCGTCACGCGTGTCACAACCCTCGTACCTCACTACCCGGACAGAAGTGTTCCGTTACAAGTTGGCGCCACCCAACCTGGTGATTCATGGAGCCAGTTCGCGTCTACAACAACGACAAACTGTTGATACTTCGAAACCCGCTTCGCACCATAGCTACTTCAAGGACACTTCACTAATACACATACATACTATCCTCAACGAGAACTGTAACGCGTGAGTCACACATGTCCATTAGTCTGATGATAAATTGACGCGTACAGCAATATATGAGACTCTATTGATGTGCATACGTACTGTGGATTACACACTCATCGAGCGTATGGGGAGCAAATGCGAGACCAACGAAAATCGGTGCTGCCTTACTGTCGTGTAGTGTGACTGTCTTTACAGAAGAGATGATACGGAATCCGGGTACTGAAGGTCGTATCTTATATCCGTATCTTTATCAACGATACCCTTCGATCACTCACATTTTATCAGGACTCACTCATTTTGTTGCGCACTCAGAAAATTTGCTGACGCATCGATCCCGCTCATGGTCGTCTCGGTTCCACTGCAAGTCTTCTCACTACATAATGTTCAATACGAATCAGCCCAACGATAAGAACGGACATACGCAGCAAAGGATGTAGCGGGTGAGGTGATCAAGCTCGCTATCAACGAGTAGTTCGTACGATCAACTGAAGACTAAGATAATCCATGACCTTCCAGTCGAGGTCCAGCCTGACTTAACCGGTTCATGGCGGCGGGATAAGCAAGCTACGATCGCACATGAACTGGGGGTCGTGCTAGTATCTGTTGGCATGATGCGCCAGCACGAGAATGCGCTTGTCACTTTCAAGCCACCGGTATTATGATCTTCACGTTTTGCATTGACCCTTTTGCAACACTCGCTACGTCTTGCAAGGTCCATGATTCGGTCCGCCAAATTGCTGCTGCACCTCACATGTACTGCTTTCTTTTCTCAGATTTCAAATCGAGAGAGAAACCAGTGTGATTGGTTGCAGTAAGTCCAAGCTCGGTTGTCGATGGCCAGTTTGTTTGCATAAAACACATCGTGATTCGTGCTGTGCAAAGTATTCCAGCACGAAAAAACGGGACGCAGTATTAATCTATAGTAGAGCACCGTGATTTCGCCTTGAGGACATAGAGACATAGAGGAGAGCGATGGCAGACTGGTGAAACTGGTATCCACCCAATCAGTAAAAGGTTTTCGCAAGGTATTCGTGTTGCGACCTGTAGAGTGGTGACGCCACATCAGGATTCTGGCACGTGATCCTCCCACTACCAGGAGCGACGGTTTTTCCCTGCTCTGTTATCCAGTCTGGGGCGGTGCACCGTTCCTTAGTGACCTTGGTGTGAACCCTTACGAGCTCACCACAATGTCGACTCCTAGTTTGAGACGGGCGCGCCTTCAACACCCTGTGGACAGTGACGCCGTCACGCGTGTCACAACCCTCGTACCTCACTTCCCGGACAGAAGTGTTCCGTTACAAGTTGGCGCCACCCAACCCGGTGATTCACGGAGCCAGTTCGCGCCTACAACAACGACAAACTGTTGATACTTCGAAACCCGCTTCACACCATAGCTACTTCAAGGACACTTCACTAATACACACACATACTATACTTAACGAGAACTGTAACGCGTGAGTCACACATGTCCATTGGTCTGATGATAAATTGACGCGTACGGCAATATATGAGACTCTACTGATGTGCATACGTACTGTGGATTACACACTCATCGAGCTTATGGGGAGCAAATGCGAGACCAACGAAAATTGGTGCGGCCTTACCCTCGTCGCAGTGTGACTGACTTTACAGAGAAGATGATACGGAATCCGGGTACTGAAGGTCGTACCTTGTATCCGTATCTTTATCAACGATACCCTTCGATCACTCACATTTTATCATGACTCACTCATTTTGTTGCGCACTCAGAAAATTTGCGGACGCATCGATCCCGCTCATGGTCGTCTCGGTTCCACTGCAAGACGGTAATCAAGCATGCCAACAAAGAGTAGTTCGTACGATCAACTGAAGACTTAGCTAATCCATGACTTTCCAGTCGAGGTCCAGCCTGACTTAACCGGTTTATGGCGGCGGGATAAGCAAGCTACGATTGCACATGAACTGGCGGTCGTGCTAGTATTTGTTGGCATGATGCATCGACACGAGTATGCGCTTGTCCCTTGAAAGCCATCGGCATTTTGATCTTCACGTTTTGCATTGACCCTTTTGCAACACTCGCTACGTCTCGCAAGGTCCATGATTCGGTCCGCCAAATAGCTGCTGCACCTCACATGTACTGCTTTCTTTTCTCAGATTTCAAATCGACAGAGAACCAGTGTGATTGGTTGCAGTAAGTTCAAGCTCTGTTGTCGATGGTCAATTTGTTTGCATTGTTAGCGAGTGATGATGCGGCGACTTGTGCAGGGTGTATATTGCATATTTGCATTAGTTGTATTGTTCTTTGGCAGGTTTATATTGTGGGATGTTAGCGAAACGACAAGTCATCGGATTGGCTCAGTCGTTTGGGAAGGGGGATTCCACGCGGGTGAGTGCGGGTTCGATCCCCGCCGTGTACAAGTTAATTGTGACTGACACTCACGACCTGGTGTTTGGGGTTCACCAGAACTGTGACCCGCCCGCAGTTACGTCCCCCACCCACGCAATCGTTTTCATTCAGCATATGACACAGCAGAGTTTTTACGAAAGGTATTTACGAGACGTAATTACCCAGGGATAGGTAAAACAGAAAGCGGTGGAGACAGGGCACGAAATAGGTGGCTGAGAGTCACCGGCTACTACTAGCCATTCGTTTTCGAAGCTAGGAACAATTTGAATACAACTCACTTTTCGGTTTTCATCCCCGGCCGTAAGCCATCTTCTTCTCAGCATCAGCTCCACAACCTAGTTAATTCTAACAGGTTATGAGCCCAAGTAACGACTCCGGTTTCAAGGTCGAGCCTTTCGACGGCTCGAACTATGGGTTGTGGAGTTACAAGATGAAGATGTACCTGATGTCGAAGGGGCTGTGGGGCGCGATCGCGGGCGATGAGACAACAAGTGAGGCCAAGGAACAGCAAGCCCACGCCGCGATCGTGCTGAATCTGAGCGATTCACAGTTGATGCATGTCATCGACTCGGCCACCGCAAGAGAAGCGTGGGGACGTCTGGCGCGATTTCATCACAGTCATGACATGGCGAATCGACTTTGGCTGAAGGAAAAGTTCGCGTCGTTCAAGTATGCAGCATCAAGCATGAGCGGTCATGTGATGGAGCTGGAGGACCTCGTGATGAAGATGAAGCGCGCGAACTGCGGTCCAAGTGAAGAGGACGTGTGCGCAGTACTGTTGCGGAGTCTACCTTCAAGCTTCGAGAGCTTGGTACAGGCATTCCGCATGTCCGTCGCAAGCTTCAGTTTCAGTGACCTCGTGAGCAAGTTGATCGCCGAAGAAGTGCGCCAGAATGAGGGAGCACGAGTAGAAGATGCAACGGCGCTCTACGCAGGCAAGAGGAAGGGTAAGCAGTACCCGAAGAAGCAACAAGGACGGCGCGCGAAAGGACCATCAGGGACCTGCTACAACTGTGGCAAGGTCGGACACTACGCCAGAGATTGTCGCTCCGGTCGAGGGCCAAGGGAGCAACAGCATGACCAGTCGAATGTCGCGTTTCATGCCAGCGAAGGTTTCGCGAGCAACAGCTGGGTCATGGACAGTGGCGCGTCAGCACACATGTGCAAGGATCGAGATGCGTTCGAAGAGTACGAAGAAGTGCATCATGCGCGAAGCATTTCAAGCGCAAAGAGCGACGTGAAGCTGAATGTCATTGGACATGGGACAGTGAAGCTGCGCGTCTGGACAGGACATGCGTGGATCGACGCTCGCCTTGAGAACACACTTCACGTTCAAGATTTGTCCAAGAACCTGTTTTCGCTCACGGCTGCGGCAGCGCGCGGCATGACAGTGGAGATAACGCGCAACGAGTGCGTGGTCAAGCGTGGCGGCACACCCGTCGCAACAGGAAGGAAGCAGGGGGTTCCTCCTGTATCTCAATGCTGACTGTGGTACGGAGTGCCACATGGCCGAAGACGATACAGAGCTATGGCATAGAAGATTGGGTCACGTGTCGTATGGTACGCTGAATGCCATGGTCAAGGACGGAAGGATCAAGGGCGCAACGATGAAGACGAACGTTGCGTGTGACGTATGCGCAACGTCAAAGCAAGTGCGCAAGTCATTCAAGACAAGTGAAGAAGACGCTGAAACCAGGGAGAGTTCGCGTTCCGACGTGGTGGTGTGCTCCGACGTTCTCGGACCTATCACGCCAGCGTCCAAGTCTGGTTTCAGTTACGCCGTAACCTTCATCATGATGAAGAGCAGGTATGTAACGGTCTATCCGTTGCGAAAGAAGAGCGACGTTGCGAGTGCGTTCAAGCGGTTTTACCAAGATGTCAAGACAGCATCTGGAACGAAGATAAAGGTGTTGCGAAGTGACAACGGCGGCGAATACCGGAACGCAACGATGAACAGCTTTTGCAAGGCAAAGTTCATTAAGCAAGAGTTCACGGTTCCGTACAACCCAGAGCAGAACGGGATGGCGGAGCGGATGAACCGCACGCTGGTGGAGATGACGCGCTGTATGCTCAAGGAAAGCGGTCTCGACAAGTCCTATTGGTGCGAGGCACTAATGACAGCGGCAGACATCAGAAACATTCTGCCGAACGCGTCGAACAAGAACTCAAGCCCACACGAAATGGTGTTCAAGAAGGTTCCGCGCATCGATCACATGCGCGTGTTTGGTGCGCAATGCTATGCGCATGTGGCGAAGGAGAAGAGAAAGAAGCTGGACGACTCAGGCGTGCGATGTTTCTTTCTCGGCTATGAGAAGGACCAAAAGGCGTATCGGCTTCTCAACGCGGACGATGGCTCGATCGTGATTTCAAGAAGCGTCACGTTCGCTGAGCATTCTGTCACGAAAGCATCGAAAAGCAGAGACACGCAGGTCTTCGATGTCATTGAAGAAGATGAAAGTGTGGAGGCGTCGCTAACCGATGATGAAGACATACCAGCGCCGGTGACCGAAGAAGAGCTGCGCACCCCACCACTTCGAGCGCAGAACAGCTCTCATCACGGACCAAGTGTTCGACCAAGCGACACCATTCCTACGCGCGCATCCAGCACACCCGGAAGAAATGGAGAAGAAGAGTGGATGGTGCGACCGGTTCGAAAGAAGCGCGGCGTGGTTCGCTACGAACAAGAATTTCCAAGCCATCGTCGCGGTCGCTTCAATTTGGACGACTACGAAGGTGACTTCGACTCTTTCTACTGTTTCTCGGCTGAAGAAGATGGGGAACAAGCGTCCAGCTATCGAGAAGTGATGAAGAGCGGCTACAAGGAGCAGTGGCTCCAGGCAATGAAGAGTGAGATGAAGTCGCTTGAAGAACACAGCACATGGAAGCTAATGGACATGCCACCGGGCAAGAAGGCCGTTGGCTGCAAGTGGGTCTTCAAGATTAAACGCGATCCAAGTGGCGAGATCATCAAGTTCAAGGCACGCTTGGTTGCGAAAGGGTTCACGCAGCGTCCTGGCATCGACTATAACGAGACCTTCGCACCAGTGGCGCGCAAGGAATCTATCAACACAGTGTTGGCGATCGCTGCAGCCGAAGACCTGGAAGCAGAAAACGTTGATGTCGACACAGCGTTTCTCTACGGCGAAGTGGAGGAGGAGATCTACATGGACCAACCTGACGGTTTTGAAGATGAAGGAAGCCCGAATAAGAAGTGTTTGCTGCAGAAGGCGCTATACGGGACGAAGCAAGCGGCGCGGCAGTGGAACAACAAGTTGAGTCAGCACTTGGTTGATCAAGGATTCAAGAGCAGTACAGCGGACCCGTGTGTGTTCGTTCGAGTGACAAGAGAGGAGTACAGCATCATCGTGATCTACGTGGACGACTTGATGATTTTCTGCAAGACGAAGGAGCACATCGCAAGTATCAAGAACTCATTGATGGAAGATTTCAGCATTAAAGATCTTGGAGATCTCAAGTACTGCCTCGGGATCGAGATTCATCGCAAGCGCGAAGATGGAACGATCAAGATGAACCAGAAGGCGTACATCAAGCGACTTTCGGAGAAGTTCGGCGTTGAGAACTGCAAGGACATGCACACGCCGGCGGACAGTAATTCGAAGCTGATCAAGATGGGTCAAGAGGAAGCGTTTGTACCAAAGTACCCATACCGTGAGCTGGTGGGCGCTTTAATGTACATCGCCACATGTACACGACCGGACATTGCGCATGCGGTTGGCGAAGTTGCGAAGTTTTGCGAGCGCTACGACAAGTCGCATTGGACAGCAGCAAAGCGGATTCTCAAGTATCTCAAGACGACTCAAGACTTAAGCATCGTTTTCAGCGGCATCAACAAGGGAGAGCTGATTGGATTTGCGGATGCAAACTGGGCTGGCGACCTCGACACGCGGCGTTCGACAACAGGATACGTTTTCTTCCTGAACGGAAGCGTGATATCGTGGAACTCGAAGCGTCAACCAACGGTCGCGACCTCAAGTACGGAAGCAGAGTACATGAGTCTGTACAGCGCGACGCAGGAAGCAATTTGGCTTCGAGGTCTGCTCAAGGACCTGAACTACTGTGCCAAGAACGCGACGACGATTTTTCAAGACAATCAAGGTTGCATCGCGCTGGCCAAGAATCCTGTGTACCACTCGCGCACGAAGCACATCGACATCAAGTTTCACTTTTTGCGTGAAAAGGTTGCAAGTGCAGTTATCGCGCTAGAGTTCAAGCCGACAGAAGAAATGGTCGCGGATGGATTCACCAAAGCACTTCCAAGAGACAAGCACAGCAAGTTCATCACGGGTCTGTGCATGGCGGTGTAGGGGTCACACGTCGCACGCACATCAAGGGAGAGTGTTAGCGAGTGATGATGCGGCGACTTGTGCAGGGTGTATATTGCATATTTGCATTAGTTGTATTGTTCTTTGGCAGGTTTATATTGTGGGATGTTAGCGAAACGACAAGTCATCGGATTGGCTCAGTCGTTTGGGAAGGGGGATTCCACGCGGGTGAGTGCGGGTTCGATCCCCGCCGTGTACAAGTTAATTGTGACTGACACTCACGACCTGGTGTTTGGGGTTCACCAGAACTGTGACCCGCCCGCAGTTACGTCCCCCACCCACGCAATCGTTTTCATTCAGCATATGACACAGCAGAGTTTTTACGAAAGGTATTTACGAGACGTAATTACCCAGGGATAGGTAAAACAGAAAGCGGTGGAGACAGGGCACGAAATAGGTGGCTGAGAGTCACCGGCTACTACTAGCCATTCGTTTTCGAAGCTAGGAACAATTTGAATACAACTCACTTTTCGGTTTTCATCCCCGGCCGTAAGCCATCTTCTTCTCAGCATCAGCTCCACAACCTAGTTAATTCTAACACTCTTTATCCTATTCTCCTTCTCACCTCCTTCTCTTTCTTTTCATTTCAAATCACAGACCATTATTTATATTCACTCTTTTCGATGGTCAATTTTTTGCATAACGCGCATCGTGATTTGTGCTGTGCAAAGTAATCCAGCACGAAAAACGGGACGCAGTATTAATCTATAGTACAGCACCGTGACTTCGCCTTCAATACATAGAGACATAGAGGAGAACGATGGCAGACTGGTGAAACTGGTATCCACCCAATCAGTAAAAGGTTTTCGCAAGGTATTCGTGTTGCGACCTGTAGAGTGGTGACGCCACGTCAGAATTCTAGCACGAGATCCTCCCACTACCAAGAGCGACGGTTTTTCCCTGCTCTGTTATCCAGTCTGGGGCGGTGCACCGTTCCTTAGTGACCTTGGTGTGAACTCTTACGAGCTCACCACAATGTCGACTCCTAGTTTGAGACGGGCGCGCCTTCCACACCCTGTGGATAGTGACGCCGTCACGCGTGTCACAACCCTCGTACCTCACTACCCGGACAGAAGTGTTCCGTTACAAGTTGGCGCCACCCAACCTGGTGATTCATGGAGCCAGTTCGCGTCTACAACAACGACACACTGTTGATACTTCGAAACCCGCTTCACACCATAGCTACTTCAAGGACACTTCACTAATACACACACATACTATCCTCAACGAGAACTGTAACGCGTGAGTCACACATGTCCATTGGTCTGATGATAAATTGACGCGTACAGCAATATATGAGAATCTCATGATGTGCATACGTACTGTGGATTACACACTCATCGAGCGTATGGAGAGCAAATGCGAGACCAACGAAAATCGGTGCGGCCTTACCCTCGTCGTAGTGTGACTGACTTTACAGAGAAGATGATACGGAATCCGGGTACTGAAGGTCGTACCTTATATCCGTATCTTTATCAACGATACCCTTCGATCACTCACATTTTATCAGGACTCACTCATTTTGTTGCGCACTCAGAAAATTTGCTGACGCATCGATCCCGCTCATGGTCGTCTCGGTTCCACTGCAAGACTTTTTTCACTTCATATTATTCAATACGAATCAGCCCAACGATAAGAACGGACATACGCAGCAAAGGATGTGGCGGGTGAGGTAATCAAGCATGCCAACAAAGAGTAGTTCGTACGATCAACTGAAGACTAAGCTAATCCATGACCTTCCAGTCGAGGTCCAGCCTGACTTAACCGGTTGTTATGGCGGCGGGATAAGCAAGCTACGATCGCACATGAACTGGGGGTCGTGCTAGTATTTGTTGGCATGATGCGTCAACACGAGAATGCGCTTGTCACTTGTCCCTTAATCGCCACCGGCATTATGATCTTCACGTTTTGCATTGACCCTTTTGCAACACTCGCTACGTCTCGCAAGGTCCATGATTCGGTCCGCCAAATAGCTGCTGCACCTCACATGTACTGCTTTCTTTTCTCAGATTTCAAATCGACAGAGAAACCAGTGTGATTGGTTGCAGTAAGTCCAAGCTCGGTTGTCGATGGTCAATTTGTTTGCATAACGCGCATCGTGATTTGTGCTGTGCAAAGTATTCCAGCACGAAAAAACGGGACGCAGTATTAATCTATAGTACAGCACCGTGACTTCGCCTTGAGGACATAGAGACATAGAGGAGAACGATGGTAGACTGGTGAAACTGGTATCCACCCAATCAGTAAAAGGTTTTCGCAAGGTATTCGTGTTGCGACCTGTAGAGTGGTGACGCCACATCAGGATTCTGGCACGTGATCCTCCCACTACCAGGAGCGACGGTTTTTCCCTGCTCTGTTATCCAGTCTGGGGCGGTGCACCGTTCCTTAGTGACCTTGGTGTGAACCCTTACGAGCTCACCACAATGTCGACTCCTAGTTTGAGACGGGCGCGCCTTCCACACCCTGTGGATAGTGACGCCGTCACGCGTGTCACAACCCTCGTACCTCACTACCCGGACAGAAGTGTTCCGTTACAAGTTGGCGCCACCCAACCTGGTGATTCATGGAGCCAGTTCGCGTCTACAACAACGACAAACTGTTGATACTTCGAAACCCGCTTCACACCATAGCTACTTCAAGGACACTTCACTAATATACACACACATACTATCCTCAACGAGAACTGTAACGCGTGAGTCACACATGTCCATTGGTCTGATGATAAATTGACGCGTACAGTAATATATGAGACTCTATTGATGTGCATACGTACTGTGGATTACACACTCATCGAGCTTATGGGGAGCAAATGAGAGACCAACGAAAATCGGTGCTGCCTTACTGTCGTGTAGTGTGACTGTCTTTACAGAAGAGATGATGCGGAATCCGGGTACTGAAGGTCGTACCTTATATCCGTATCTTCATCAACGATACCCTTCGATCACTCACATTTTATCAGGACTCACTCATTTTGTTGCGCACTCAGAAAATTTGCTGACGCATCGATCCCGCTCATGGTCGTCTCGGTTCCACTGCAAGTCTTCTCACTACATAATGTTCAATACGAATCAGCCCAACGATAAGAACGTACATACGCAGCAAAGGATGTAGCGGGTGAGGTGATCAAGCTCGCTATCAACGAGTAGTTCGTACGATCAACTGAAGACTAAGATAATCCATGACCTTCCAGTCGAGGTCCAGCCTGACTTAACCGGTTCATGGCGGCGGGATAAGCAAGCTACGATCGCACATGAACTGGGGGTCGTGCTAGTATCTGTTGGCATGATGCGCCAACACGAGAATGCGCTTGTCACTTTCAAGCCACCGGTATTATGATCTTCACGTTTTGCATTGACCCTTTTGCAACACTCGCTACGTCTTGCAAGGTCCATGATTCGGTCCGCCAAATTGCTGCTGCACCTCACATGTACTGCTTTCTTTTCTCAGATTTCAAATCGAGAGAGAAACCAGTGTGATTGGTTGCAGTAAGTCCAAGCTCGGTTGTCGATGGCCAGTTTGTTTGCATAAAACACATCGTGATTCGTGCTGTGCAAAGTATTTCAGCACGAAAAAACGGGACGCAGTATTAATCTATAGTAGAGCACCGTGACTTCGCCTTGAGGACATAGAGACATAGAGGAGAGCGATGGCAGACTGGTGAAACTGGTATCCACCCAATCAGTAAAAGGTTTTCGCAAGGTATTCGTGTTGCGACCTGTAGAGTGGTGACGCCACATCAGGATTCTGGCACGTGATCCTCCCACTACCAGGAGCGACGGTTTTTCCCTGCTCTGTTATCCAGTCTGGGGCGGTGCACCGTTCCTTAGTGACCTTGGTGTGAACCCTTACGAGCTCACCACAATGTCGACTCCTAGTTTGAGACGGGCGCGCCTTCCACACCCTGTGGACAGTGACGCCGTCACGCGTGTCACAACCCTCGTACCTCACTTCCCGGACAGAAGTGTTCCGTTACAAGTTGGCGCCACCCAACCCGGTGATTCATGGAGCCAGTTCGCGCCTACAACAACGACAAACTGTTGATACTTCGAAACCCGCTTCACACCATAGCTACTTCAAGGACACTTCACTAATACACACACATACTATACTTAACGAGAACTGTAACGCGTGAGTCACACATGTCCATTGGTCTGATGATAAATTGACGCGTACAGCAATATATGAGACTCTACTGATGTGCATACGTACTGTGGATTACACACTCATCGAGCGTATGGGGAGCAAATGCGAGACCAACGAAAATTGGTGCGGCCTTACCCTCGTCGCAGTGTGACTGACTTTACAGAGAAGATGATACGGAATCCGGGTACTGAAGGTCGTACCTTGTATCCGTATCTTTATCAACGATACCCTTCGATCACTCACATTTTATCATGACTCACTCATTTTGTTGCGCACTCAGAAAATTTGCGGACGCATCGATCCCGCTCATGGTCGTCTCGGTTCCACTACAAGACGGTAATCAAGCATGCCAACAAAGAGTAGTTCGTACGATCAACTGAAGACTTAGCTAATCCATGACTTTCCAGTCGAGGTCCAGCCTGACTTAACCGGTTTATGGCGGCGGGATAAGCAAGCTACGATTGCACATGAACTGGCGGTCGTGCTAGTATTTGTTGGCATGATGCATCGACACGAGTATGCGCTTGTCCCTTGAAAGCCATCGGCATTTTGATCTTCACGTTTTGCATTGACCCTTTTGCAACACTCGCTACGTCTCGCAAGGTCCATGATTCGGTCCGCCAAATAGCTGCTGCACCTCACATGTACTGCTTTCTTTTCTCAGATTTCAAATCGACAGAGAACCAGTGTGATTGGTTGCAGTAAGTTCAAGCTCTGTTGTCGATGGTCAATTTGTTTGCATAACGCGCATCGTGATTTGTGCTGTGCAAAGTATTCCAGCACGAAAAACGGGACGCAGTATTAATCTATAGTAGAGCACCGTGACTTCGCCTTCAATA